GGTTCGAATCCCACTTCTGACAGTAACGTTTTCTCGTCGTTTACAGTGCAAATGCTTGCCGTTTATGTACAGTGCTGTAGCGCAAGTGTATGGGATATGACCATTTATTTTTCAGTCGGCATTGGGTATACCCACTTTAAAGGCATGACATAATCGTCCAATTTTCATGAGGAATGAGGAATACTTGGATGATTCTGCAGGTGTCTCAGCCTTCTGTGGAAAATCTGCACCAATTCTGTGGCTAATATTGATTTCATTATGAGTATTTACTGCCTGAAGTCAAGGCAGCAAAGGTAAAGTGACTGTGCAAATACTACTGGCCCATTTCTGTGTGAAATAAATATGCAAGAGTTGTCTTATATGTCATTGTTTATGAGACAGGGTGTTTATCCTTCACTGGACGGGCCTCTTAAAAAAGAAATTGGGGCATAAATTAAAGGTATACCAACTTCTCCAGGCCCTACTACACCACTGCATATATGTTGTATTTGTATTTGTAATGTTATCATCTTGTATTATTATGGTTATAATCATTAGTGTGTGTTTCTGCTGTGTAGAATCAACAATACATGTAAATGAACTAACCACCAGTTTTGCTTTCAGTGATAAAGGATATAGCAATGACGCAGAAGTCTTCACGTCTCATATTTGTCTTCTTCTTAACTGTTACAAACCAATATAATAGCAATAATGTCATAAAGTATCGTTCATTCATTTAAATGCCTGTAGAGGGCGTAGCACCTCCTGCAACAACATGGCTCTTTCTAGAAGTGAAAATTCTTGTAAAGTAGAAGATTTAACTGCCAGACCCCTAACTTTATCCATTTTTACTGACTTGTATTGTGCAACCAAACTCTAATCAAAGCCAGACTGCTTTATTTTTAATTCTAGGAGAGAGTTTAAAGTTATCAAGTATGCTGATTGTGAATTATAAGTAAAGTTTCTGCAGTTATATTTACCTCTGGTTTGTTTATGTATCTTGGTGTAAGTATAATATAGCTTCAATTAAGAGTTGGAACAGATTGTGATAGTGTTTTAGGGGGGGAAAAAAGTTTATTTTCTCCAAATGTAAATCCATCTAAGGCAGTATTTTAAGATTTTTAGATGTTAAACAGGTTTTTTGTTTTTAGTTTGCATATAAATCAATTAAATATATCTGAAAATATAACAAGTATCCAAAAATCAGATGCTTTTTAGTATCTGAAGCTTGTGAAAGTTATTATTCAGCCTTCAATGCGAAGTTTAAAACCAGTATTAGTTATATGTGAGAGATGTCCTTGTTGAGTCCGTATTGAATCATTCTTGTTTTAATATGTTTTGGCACTTCCAGATGGAGGCCGCCCTCGTTTCATACAATCTCCACATGAAAGGAAAATAGAGAAGACCGTCTGTCCATTTCATGCAATAGTTAATGATACAAACACAAACATTCAGCAACTCACAGCACAGCACAGTTTACTTGCTAGTCATTTTATACAAATAGTAGAAAGAGGGTTTGTATCTGAAGGAGACAAACTGCATCACATTTGCCAGATAGATGTCGATACACAGAGACTGATTTTTTTCAGACTGGTATTTTGCAAAGAGAATCACAGAGTCGAATGTTTCAAACATCCCATTAAAAAAGCTTTCACTAACCTGTTGTAAGAAAAAAAGAGCAGTTTCAGTAATCACGTACAGTTATAGAAAGATATCTAGGTGAAAGGTTAAGTTGAAATAAACATAAACAACAACCTAAAAAAAGAAATCATTCCAATAATCAGGTGGCGTCTAGTGGTAGGCATATGTGTGTTTGCTGTCCTACGATGCTCGACCCGACCACGAAAACCAGTTAACAGAACATTTGGAAGTCCCAAAAGAACCACAAAATATTTATATTCTCATTTTATCTATATATTTTTTTGTTTGTTTTTGTTTTGTACACATCACAACCTGAAGACTCGGTAGGTTGACTGGTTGTCCGTCACGTCTCTGGGTTTATCATCATACTCTTCATCATCATCCCCCTTGCGTCATCTAAAAGCACAGACCCCCCTTCAACATGCTGCAACACCCCCTCTAAAAAAAGCAATCACAACCCCTTTAATAGTTACACGTAAACTCTGTGGGTTTTAATTTTCGCACTTTCTAGGTGCCTTTCGAGAAAGGGGGGGGCAATAATCGCCATTCCCTCCAACTAGAAGATTTTCTACGTATTTTGAACGTCCACGTTCAAGGTCCCACACTGAGTAGACTGCTGAAGGGCCATGCCGAGTTTACAGGATGGCACAGAAGAACTTCTTCTCCCTGAATGGGTTCTCCGACGCTGGAACCGGCGATAACAGAGGGTCCTCTTTGGCATGAGCTTCGCAGTACGACATTAAGTCTGCCGCCGCTTTCGACACCTGGAATCAAACAGACACACACAAACACGTTAGTATACGCTGAGATACATGATGCAGAGGTAAGGCTAAAGAAGTATTTTGACATTCTGGGAAATACACTTATTACATATTTACATGAGTTACATAAGAGGATTGATGCCACTCTATTGTCTGTACTCATATGTAGCAGCCGCTAGCTTAGCTTAGCATAAAGACTGTAAACAGGGAAAAGGAACCACAAAGTCCACCAGAAAACAAGGAATAGTTGGTTTTACACATATGTTTCTGTACGGGATTAAACAAACAACAACTTTTCCTCAAAACTGTGTGTCAAACTATTCCTTTCTAGAGCTAGAGTTGTTGGGGGGGGGGGGGGT